CGTGAAAATTATATTTAATGACTCGAACAGTTAATTAGGTATAGGTTTGTGGAAGAGGGTAATTAACGAATCGTCGAGGGATACGCCGATTTGCCGATTATTCAGAGTTCAAATCAGTTTTCACTCATAAAAACACAGGCCTCCATTCGTGAAACTCCAGCATAATTTAGTGCTTTGTAAACTGGTTAACTTAATACCCTTGTTGTACATGTAATCACTCAGAAGGGAGTCATAACTTCACATTCTGTGTATTCGAAACTATTCAAACTCGGTTAACGATTCTCTCCATTCGCTCGCCACTGCAAACGATCAATAAACCGTGAGATATCTTAATATCGCGTCCCATAGCTGTCGATTTCACGCTGATAATAATTCAGTCTATTAAAAATACTTCAAATGGTGGAAACGAAATATCATTAACCCGGAGTTTGAAATTGCTCTATAAAACGATGAGAATCTCCGGCAAAACTCAAGATCCATGGAAACTAGGAGAACGAAAAAATTTTAGGGAGACGTTAACAGTGAATTTTAATAATGTCATTCGATCGGGTCTCGGGGGATGATTTTGATTTTTCTTTCATGTGTTGCCTACGTGGCGTCTTGTGGAGCATTTCGAGTCCCGGGAAAGTGTTCCGGATATATTCCATGGAGAGATCTTAACTCTCCAGACGATTATACGCTTTATCGCTTCAGCGATCTGAGAATTCGTTAATGAGAGATGAGTTTATGGAATTGATTTTTTTTTAACGACTGATGGAGTGAGTGCAGCTGAGATATGACCGGATAAATGAAAGAAGAAGTATGAGGGATGTAGGTCGCATCGAAACACGGAACACAGATCGGTCATTTCTATTTCTGCGTGGAATTCATTAGCTCGTTTTATCCCGGCTGATGGATTCCACGGTACTATTTCTGAAGGTGTCGGGTTATGAGTGCAATCGGAGAATTTCAAAGAGAGAAATACGTGCGCGCACTGAGAGATAAATTACTTCTGCGATAGTAATTCATTTCTCCGAGTTAATTCGGCATAGGGGCATGCAAATGCATAAATTATTTTATAATCAGTCAATATATTTGAATTTTCAAAATGGAACTTGGCTTGCAGAATTTATTAAACTTTAAATTGCAGTTACTTGATGATTAGAATGCGAATATCGACGGATTCTGCGAAATTTCGGGGGAAAATTCCGTATAAAATATCAGAATATGCGAGAATATTTCCAGTCAGCGATTGATAATAAATGACGACTGCAATAATAAAAATAATGATGAATATCTGTACTATATAAAGGATGAAAATCACTTTCAGAGGGAATTTCTACAAAAAAATTTCCCAAGAAAATAATATATTTTCGGGAAAGCCATTTGGAGTGGTTCCTTCATCCACTTCGAGCTAAAATAATGCACAATTTTTAAAATGATCGCACAGGCAGCCTCATATCATGTTCTCACACGAATTATCTCCGGAAAGCCGAATATTCACCCAGTTCTTACCAACTCAACCGTAAAAACAGTCGGACCAGATTTTTTTTCATCTCCATTCATTGCTGAGTGGATGAAATTTTTTGCCCTAGGGGCTAAAAAAAATCCGTTATCGGTTCATTGACGTAGAGATGCGCTGACAACCTCTGCAGTTGAAGTAAAAAACTTCAGACAGACGTCATACCAACGATATCTCCAGTACTTCAGTCTCACCATCTACTATAGTTATTCCATTTATCCTGTATATGGGTTAGAATGTTTCACCGGGGGGTTGCAAAAAATTCCCGCGAGGATCCGGAACTTCTCCACCTCTTTGTCATTGTTATTGCCTCACTGTCGCTTCGGCTGGAATGAAAATATTCGGCAAAAGTACTGGAGACACTGAGAGCACTAACTATAGATATATCACGGGACTTTTTTCACCGTTGGGTGGATTTGTTTCCAAGTGATGAATAAGATCAATCGCGAGAACAGAAGCGAGTTAAAATGTCATTCTCTTTGTAATGGTCGTTTGGCAGTTGTCACTCTCGCCATTTCCATTCGTGTGAATGGAAAGTTTGGAATCCGTTGAGAGTGCAAATATTGTGGAGAAAAAAAAACCACTGAGGGCTTTTTATCGATGGGGATTATATTCAAGTTTTAGCTGTCGAGTTTTCTCAAGAAACTTTTACAGGACCGTCTTTTGCATTACCGATTTTATCACTCATTGCAGCGGGTGAAGATGGCGGGTGGAGGTAATTTCCGTATTTTTAATTTTTTTTCTGGTGCGAAGGGAAAGGAGGCGGGAATAATTCAAAGTTTCAGAAGATAATTGGTGGATCGTGATGGCATGAGGTAATGATCAATTATTAATTCCCTTGGAAGTATAGATCAGGGGAATTGAAAGTACAATTTGAAACGTGTCGCAACTCTTTTGAGTTTTCAATATTGAGTTGAGGTAATTATGGATTTATTTTATCTCACTTGGATTGTCACTGCATCCCGGAAAACCCAGGAGAAATGAATGCCAAACACAGGGATATTCAGTTTGCCACCGAGAAAGAGATGCTTTAGAAAAATGAGAATTGTCTGAGGAAATGTCCTATCTCTTGCGTATTTCCTCCATTATTATTCACCTCTCGTGCAGCATCGGGACATGGACCAGCCGCTTCTCATAGATTTATATTTTATCCTGGATTACGTACGGCTGCCTTTTCCGCAGTGAGACGAGAGAGCGAATCTGATCGCATATGCCTTGGAATTCCACCGACTGCGACATCCAATTTTCACGTCCGATGATTCGAGAGCCGATACTTCTGCAGTCCATGTATCACCCTCAATCGACGGAAGACGCATCGAATCGGCAGATTCACTCATATTTTTTCCCGCACAGTAGAAAAATATGTCCAAGTACATTATAGAAGAGAAAAATATATTTCTGCCAAATTTATTCCGGAGTTTACTCCAGGGAACAGTTAGAAATTTATTGAATTTTCAAGAGACTGAAAATAGTGAAAAATTATTGCTGCAGTTTTCACCGTCAACCATCTACCATTTTATATTTATATATTTTAATTGTCGGTTCGTAAACCCTTCTAGCTCTTGTCGAATCCCACAAAAATTTCTGTTTAAACATTTCTGCTTTACACTCGGTAATAAATTCCCATTACCCAGCACCAGGGGTTAATAAATATAATCCAGCCTGGTGCAGTCTAATTAAGATTCTACCCGGGTATTTCTCGGACGCGGGGCTCTTTCAAAGATAATTTTACGGGCTTCATGGGAACGAGTACTTGCTCAACTCTAAAATGTTCACGGTCTTCCCCAGGAATATTCACCATACGTTAATAGCCAACATCAGGAACTCTGTCCCTTTTCTCGCTACCCTTTTCACCCAAAACCCGTATGAATTCCTAAACTCAATTATTACTATGCAGCCATGAAAAAAAAATAATAAGAATTGACCGGCGAGAGTGAGTGGAAATAGAATTGCATTGAATAGCGGAATGATAATTAGCGACTTCTTACAATTATAATCATGGATGGTATTTTCGAGAATTCTGGAATTGCTGATGTTCACTGGATACCGGAGGGAGAAATCACACGGATGGAAAAATTGGGTCGTAGAATTTCCAATTTCACCTCGAAAAGCACCGAGCTACCGTACCTTATCCGCTATTTTCACTCTTTTCCTCCTGTTCTCCATCGGTTTTTCTTCCACTTGATCCTTTGTCGTTCACGTTGGAGATTACGATCGATGGTTCTTCAACTTTCCCAGGTTATTTTTCTCGACGATAGTTGTCAATGTACAGAGAAGGACTTTTGTCAGAGCAGTTGAAAGAATACAAATGCATCGGGAAAAAAGGGGATGACAGGGGACCAACCATCGCTGTTGTAAACGAGCGGAAGTCGAGGTGAAAATGCTATTTCGCTTGTCATGTCAAAGAAAAGGGAGTGCTCTGGAAGTCGAAGGGTTCGAAAATACTCGAGACGTCGAAATTGCAACTTTTTTTTGCCGTTCGAAATAAAAACCGTTTGAACGATTTTACGGATAAACAACTGTCTGCTAAAAATAGTTGCAATTGATAGAAAAAAAATTGCGCTTCGATATTTCAACAGCAAAATATACTGAGAAAAAGATAATATTTGTATGACACTTTGACGTGTCGTGAGTAATTATTTTTCAAAGTGCAATGAAAATGCCAATTTATGAAAATAATTCAGCAGGCGATCGGATAAATCTAACGACTCGAAAATAGTTAAATGAGGAAAATTTCAGTGTGGCTTAAGATTTAGCACGTCCGTCGCTATAAATTACCTCCCCAACGAAGTTGAACAATAACTCACCAATTTGCCAGGACAAAGTTGATGCGGTAGGGCAAAGTATAATACCGATTCGGGGTGATAGTCAAGAGACGGCCGACATAATGTAAAGCCTGGGGTGTATCCGCGTGTCAGTTAACCCGGCACTAACATGATACACTAAGCCCCAAGAGAGCGAGAGAGAGCAAGAGCATTTGTTTACTTGTTTATTAATATTTTAGCGGCAAAATGCGATGCTTTTTCAACTGTTTGGAACGACAATTGCCTGGACGCTGTGTCATGGAGATCTCTGTGTTGGTTGAGCCTGTTTATGTTTGTGGATATATGATAATTATGGATACATGGAACATTGACATCTTTTTTGCGATAATAAATATGTTAATGAATATATTTGCGTAGAATATAAACGCTAGAGCATCAAATAGTTTTTATCTTTGTGTTTACAATGTTTCAATCAATTTTTTATTATCTCCTGTCGATTGAGGATTGAGTGGAATATACGCAATTGATTGAAATATTTGGAGTGGAATAATAGATGTTACTCCGTATTTATTCATAGCTGGCATTAAACGTCGGGCTCGCAACGAAGACGCACATCTTCGGCAGATGCATCGAGCTGAAAATATCGTTGCGACGATTCGATTGTTGATGCCTAGCACGCCTACGCTGGGTCGAGATGAATTATTGGTCATTTATTATTATTTTTTTCAATTCAGGTGGACCTCAGACATATGGATGAACAGCCTGGGAACAATGTGGTTGATGTTGGGGTTGATCTCTCAGAGTTCTACATGTCAGTCGAGTGGGATATATTGGAAGTGCCTGCTGTTAGGTGAGTTCATCACTTCCATTTCATTCCTCGGAGCAGAATATGATTCGTGGGCGAAAATAAAATAGAGCGAAAGATTTTCTATCACGAATTTAAAATTCCCAAACGAAAGTGATCACCGAATCATTCGTTCCAGCACGGATTACATTCCGTTCACGAAATAGGTTTGCCATGCGTCGAGGATAGGCCCCCAGAGAACCCTCCGTTTACGAGACTATATGAGCCACAAAACCGGTGCTACATTTTCTCCGAAGCCATTTCTTGCCAACATAACATTTTTATAACCACCAGTAAAATTCTTGCATTTTATCTCATCAAAGAACGAATAATGAACGTCTACCCCCAAAAAGACAAAATCACCCCTTAATTAAAAAAAAAAAACAGTTTTAATCCAGTGAAACGATTCCATGGGGGACTCCGGGAGCCACGAAGACTGCCCCAAGAAAAACCTTCACCACAAGGAATTCCTCCGGACGGTCCAGGCAAAAGCACCCTGACATGCCGAATTTCCCTTCAATCCTCCGGAATTTAATCTCGTTACATCACCAAGCTAGAATCGACACGAGCATCTCCAAGATTCTCTCCCCAAGCCTCTGTGGTTCTCTGAAATTTTAATAAAGCGTCTGCTTTCCTTCCTCATCCCTCAAGCCAGCTCAGCCCAGCATTCAGGAAAACCGATAAAATGAGAAAAAATAAAAGTGCTCATGACGATGCGAAAAGCTGTGCAATATTTATTCAACTCATGACGCTCTCAGAATATGACGCCCGCGGCTCTATCAGAATTAAAAATATTAAAAAAAATATGAAATGGTAAAAAGGCGTGAAAACATTCTCCATTGTGTTTCAGGAATGAAAAATTTTACACCTGCTGCGATGAGCCCTATCTGGATATCACCTTCAATATAACACTGAGAAGGAAGACATTGTTCTACACTGTCAACATCATAATTCCATGCATGGGAATATCTTTTCTCACCGTACTGACGTTTTATCTGCCCAGCGATAGTGGCGAGAAGGTGAGGGGATGTACTTTTACAACAACTTTAATTCAATTTCCCTTTGACTGAAGCGAGCAGGGAGGAGGGAATGGCTATTGCCAACGTTACACAGCATTATCCGCTGTAAAGGGCTTTCGATGCTCATCAGGAGGAAATTTTGATGGTATATCTTCAGATGGATTAGTCGGATGAAATTTAATTAAACTTGCCAGAGGCTTTGCTGGAAAAGTTCATCGTGATGAAAGTTTATCCCATTTTTTTTTTCATCCTGGAGATTATGGAGTTCAGTTTTTCACGGGGGAATACTTCCATAGACAGAGTTTATCGATTTTCATTGGTATTGGTTATCTTTTCGGGTGATGGATTCAGGGATTTCGAATAAGAATTGGAAATCGAGAGGTGTAATACAGATTTTATTGCCACTAGTTTTCTCGCTTTTTTATTTGATTGAAATATTTGACAACCAGATGGAATTATTTCAATTGAACCCATTTCTGTTGAAGTCTCACTCATGTCAATGGCTTAACTATTTTTTTTTTGTATGTTCTCACAATTAATTAGTCATTTGTAAACTTCTGAAAATTGTTTTAAAAAAAAATAACCAGGAGATCGATTTTTTAATAAAGGATTCACATAAAATAAATACCTGTTAAAACTAATAAACATAATATTTATTGCAAAACGTAATTTCATTATGGGGTTTATAATCTTATTCAATATCGAAGATCTAAAGTTATCATAAGTCAAGGTTCAGTGGATCTCCTTGCCACCATAACCAAGGAACAAGTTTGATTATCGAAATTACGAGCGAGTGGTTACACCAGGAAATGGTCAGACCGTGTTTGATCCTTCCTATCCAAACTCAGGTCGAGGGCTGAACTGTTACTCCAGTAAATGAACCTCTCCACCCACTATAATTAATATTTCCATTCCACTTTTTCATCAGAATAATAATTGCATTCCCGGAATTGTTCTCCACATTTACTGTTTGAAGTGGTAAAATAAAAAAAATTGAATTCTCTCCGGTGAATTTTTTTTATGAAGAATATCTCTGATACCACACGAGATCATAAACCGAAATTATTCTATCAATTTTCTGTCCTTTTTATAAAATTCATTGAGCGCTATAGACAAATTGCAACAATAATTGTTGTAAAAAACTTGCGAAAAAAATTGATTCTGTCCCGTTTTCAATAATTTTTTTTAGCAAAAAACTTCACAAAAATAGCCTGGAGTTTATAATTACGAGCACACGAATTCTTTTGTGCAGATCCATTTGTTCCCGTCGTACGATCGAGTTTTTACTTAATTCTCTTTCTGGAGAAGGAAATTATCTTGGCCGTTGGTGTGTAGATGCAAGTGACAGGCAATTTTCTTCCTCTCAATTCCTTTTAATTTATATTCATACTGAGTACCAATAATTTATTAATATTTCACTTGAGGTATGTTTTTCAATCGCCGGAGTCGCGGAGCTGTAAGGAAATCAGAGATTCTTTCCCCGATGAAGCACCCGGTGCACCAGAGCATTTCATGGCTTGACTTTAAGTTGAGGTCGAGTGTCGTCTCCCTCTTTTTCCAACTGCCTTTCATACTATTTTACCGGTGTATATACTTGGCCCATTTCAATTACGCTCTGATTGCTGAAATCAAATGCCCTCGCCATTTCCCAGACCCGTGAACAGGTGCGGGGAAATAAAAAATTCACAGAGTTGTATTTACTGCGGAGAAGTCGCGACGACTTTTGATTCTGGTGAAATTCAATTCCAGAGGGTTATCGATAGGGGAAAACTACTTGGAGATTGTGCCGCTGTTCGAGGGTAGATTTCAAACAATTTTTCTTGTGTTCCCAGATGATTTTATCCACTCACATAATGCTGCATATGCTTGAAATATTTACTTCAATCTTTTCGAGAAGAGGGGATTATTTACATTATGTTTCAAGTGCCCCACTCGGTTTCAAGTGTTTTTTTCATACCCCAGAAAAAAAATTAAAACTCCCTGAATATTCTTCCACCACGAAAAAACCAAATTCGATGAATTTATAATTTCCCTTTCGTTTTATATTCATTAAAAAATCTCATTAAAACTTCCATGAACCCATGTTAATACAAAATTCTGAATAATGAGACAAATCATTAAACGAATGAACACAATGAATTCACAAGTGCATTTCCAATACAGAAAAATTTATTTCTCCGCTTTAATTCCGAAAAATTTCTCTAGAAACTGCCAAAAAATAATAAAACAAATAGACTTAAAAAATAAATCACCATATGAGACAGGAAAATTATGAATTTTTCATTTCCAGAATAGAATTTACCCCCAAGATTTTTCCGACATGAAAGGGCTGTATTTTCATTCGTTTAATTAATGCAGAAGTTGGAGTGGATAAAAATACCGACCCCATAAAAATTTATTCATCCCTCCCACTCAAACCTTTCACCACATATGAGACGCATTCCACAAAGAAATAGCAAGAGGGCTTCTTCATTATACAATATATGAAAACGCTCGCACAGAAGCCTCAAAGCCCCTAGGTATTCCCCTCAAAGACGACAGCACATGTGGAAATATTGAACTGTCTTTCATCGGCGTCGGTACCTATATAATATTAAGACGTCTATATACGGCCTCCTTTGTTGCCCGAGGGTGAAAAGGATCGACTGATATTGGCGAGATTAATAACCGCAAAACGCGCCGCCTGCAGCTACCGAACGCTCTCATGGAACTAAATAGATAAAAAAATAGAGTAACGAAAAATCACTCAACCGTAAATGGTAATCAATCATATTTCAATTGGTGGGATAAAAATTCGTGGATAACGCAAAGAGCAAAAATATATAGACAGATTTAAATAAAATGACGCGACATTCTCGTACTTTTCGCATTACTGCAGTGATGAATTTGGGAAAATCGTGAATGTTTTTTTCTTCCATTCTTATAAAACCGCCGGAAAATAATTCCTTCTTCCGGATTACGTAATTGTTTGCAATTATTCGTAATTGCTTTTAAAATGGAATTTTACTCCGCCGGTTCAATTCGCCTCTCAGTCACCTCTTCCTTAGATTCTCCCCCGTTACCTCGACATATTCGGAAAAATCGAGCTGATCACCACGTCCTATTTTTCTGGTGCCAAAAAATGCTTACACCGATGAATATGATAGAACGGTCGCGTCGTACTGTCGGGACGCAAAATGAAGTCACCGCGGCGCCTGCAAAACTAGTGAATAACGCAAAAATATTTATCCCTGTCAAGTGCCGAAAAATTCACCGCTGAATTTATCGTCGATTTTCTTTTGTATTGCCACCGAAAATCCCAGGGAAATCAATAGTTCTCCCATGAACCACTACACCACTCCTTGGTAAACATTTGCCACGAAAGGACCTGCCGGGGACACTGTTTTATTTATATGAAATCCCGAAATTCGAAACGGAATATCGGGAGGAATGTAGTCCCGAGAAAAAAACAATTCATCACTGGTTTATATCATTTTTATACTTCACGCCCTTTATGTACCGGGAATGGAGGCTTTTTGGAGGACCCGAGTTTCGAAATTCATGGGTGAGAGGACTGTTCGGTAACCATGTGCGAAATTTATGGGATTAATGGTGAATCCAGTGGGACGATGCACAGTACAACAACAGGCCCAAACAGCCCAACGAGATGGATATATGCTGGCTATTTACGTGCAACAATCACCCGATGCTTTAATGCCAATGATTTTGAAAATTTTTCCATCACGCATGAATTGATGTTGATTTTTTACGTGGATTTATTCACCGAAAAATTTCCCCCGTGAAAATTCAGAATTCTCGGCAAATGAGACATATCAGCGTCTGGTACTCTCGTCCCATAACTTTGATCAGCAATTTTCCAACAGCTCGCGTTCGTTTATGGAAGCGACTAGATTTGCCACCCTCCACTGAATATTTACGTTCCCTTTTCCCATCCCCAACCAATCCCCACTGACTTCTCCTCTCCATATCCCGCCTGCATACTATTCCAAGGTACATATCTTTATCCTGTTGTCCTTTGTGTCGTAGCCATCTCCCCATCCAACGAAAACTCCAACTCTTTTTTCTTGTTCCACTGTTTTCCTCATTCCCCTGGCGATAAATTCGAATTTCCTCGCTGCTGTTTCCACCCTCAACCCGCACCCCCGTCCCATCCATCAAAAACCTTTGGGGAGTGTAAACTCATCTTGAGACATGGGCTTTCAAAGCCGCGAACGTGGTTCACCGAAGCACGTGGATGAGGATCTTCCTCAGCCCTACCACTAGCTAGTTTTGAAAAAATATTTAACCTCAACTGACGGACATTTGTTTCAGGTCACGTTATCTATCTCCATTCTCATTAGCCTCCACGTGTTCTTCCTCCTGGTCGTGGAGATCATTCCACCGACTTCGTTGGTGGTTCCACTACTGGGAAAGTACCTCATATTCGCCATGATTCTCGTCTCCATAAGGTAAGAACAAGTTTTTTATCTGCAGTAAAATTCAAGTGATCACCTGATCATGTAACGAGGCTTATCATATTTTTTATGAAGTGTTCACGATTGTCCCCGTAGGAGAGTTTCCAGAGACTAAATCTATGGAAATATTAACAATATTCATTATTTTTCATCGCTCACGATTCGTCGGTAATTTATTGGATAAATAATAGTTTAAGGCGACATGAATGTAATTTACCGCGACATCACAACCAAATCCGTTGGACGGTGAAACACACCTCCCGGGATTATGGTCCTACATATTTTTTTTATACATCTACTCCTGGCATCTGAATCAGTGGTGCTTCAGGGACCTAGTGAACTCCCGTGATTTACTGTGGAAACTTGCAGGCATCTAGGGTACCCTAGCCCGATGTTCCTCATGAGACACTGACGTTAGTCCTCAAAAAATACGGACCTTATATATATTTCAGCGCTGTCCCCCGACCCATATAAATCCTTCAAACTCATCAGATAAATCATCACAAATATTTACGAGAGCATCACCCTCTATGATTCTCGAAGAGACTCAAATGAAACAAATGGGTGATTGATTATTTTTTGATTGCATGCACGTGGTGATTACCACTAAAAAAGCAGACAATTTTTTTTCGAATGTTTCAGTTTTATTTGAATGCATTTCCCATTAATTTCCTTGTTTTATGAATGCAATAGAACTGAATTTGTATTTTAAAATACATCGTGAGATAATTGCACTCGAATTCTCAAGTGAAAAAATTTTCAACTTTTTGAAAACATCCAATAGCTATTATTTTCACGACTCAATGAATCATGAGAAAATCAATATTTATTATTAATTAAAAAATTGGGATGAGAGAATTGAATTACTATAAATATATTAATAAATCCACGATTATCAGACGCATGCTTCAATTACGATTTATTATTTCGTTTGAGGCTGTCCAGTTGAAATGAAATAGAGGTTTCCGTGGTTTGAAGTACAATGCGCGTTACCAATTATGGGATAGAAGTACGGGACTGAATGGAGATGTTTAGCTTTCAAATACGAGCTCTCAAGCTATCATTACGAATTTTCCATCCATTTGCAGTGTTTCCTCATTGAAATGTGTCCTCTCCTGGGGTCCAAAACCACCAGCTGCCGCCTCTTCCCTCGGATCCACACCCCTGCAGGTGGATTTTATCGCCCAAACCGCAATTGCACATCCCAGAAATTCAGCGTAAACCCCTTTCTCACATACTTCTGTTCTATTCATGTCTATCCTCGTTTGCTCTACTAGATGTTCTCGCTTCTCTTTGTTTCTCAATGTGGTATGGGAGAATGGGAGTGCTACAGTATCAGCTCATGAGAGGATGAACGAGAGCTCGAGTCGTGCGGTTTCTCTGCTGACGTGAGATCACCAGGGCTTTCCGGGGGGCCGACGGTGGGTGCTTCTTTCACATGTGCCGACGATCGATTCCGTTGTCCGGATAACGTGTCGAATGTGCCAGCGGGAAAAACGATATGTCGGATTTAGAGTGGGAGTACAGACGATTGGTAAACATTCCAAGTTTTTTTTTTTTTCACCGAGGGAAACTTTTAGAGTGTCGGTATTCATGGGAAATGAGAAATTCGTGAGATTGCCAACTTTTTATCGCAGAATTCGAAACAAATTCCTGGAACGGAAATATTTTTGTTTACGTCGAGAAAGGAATTCTTGGTCTAACCGAAAAATACTTTTTTTATAATAATCACAATATATACATATCAAAATTGTTTAATGAAAATAAATGGTATGATATGATATATATTTATATTATTATTTTTATAATTTTTATAATCATTTTCAAAGATGAGTTTCGATGGAATTGAGTGATTAATAAGTCCCAAAATTTCCATGAAAAATATTAAACCTCGTACGTCATTTATGTATTTAAATCAAGGTCTGTAATCCGTTTTACGTGGAACACCTATTTTTATTCCAGGTGGTTGTCTGTTTTGCCAGTTTTCATTTCCGGCCCGGCGGCAAATCTGATAGAATTTCTGTGATACGGAAAATGTTCGACTGCATGTGCAGACGAGGGCTTCACATCCCGGGGGTGAAAACTAGTCTGTTTTTCTGTTGGCATTAGGGAGAATGGGGATGAGAGGGTGGAGTGGCTACAGAACAACGAGATGGAGATGCGTAGCAACACAAAGGGTTTATTGTTTAGGGCTTTATCAGTTATAAATGGAGGACATGAAGACACAGCCTCCCGGGCACGGGTTATAATTGATTCTTGACGTGTACTACAGTCTTTTTTACTTGCTTTCTTTACCAAGTGACAATGGCGTCCCCATTTTTCCCCTTTTGTGCGTTTCTAAAATGTGAACACGAGACAAATCATTGAGGACTGAATATCAGATTATTATTAGAGAGAATATTCATCCGATCGTAGGGAATTATTTATTTATTTTTGATACACTCAAATAATAGCACTGTTAGAATTATTCAGTTTTGCAAATAATTATTTCTCAAAATTCTAACACCATTATTTAGGTTTTAGGTGGAATAATCCTTCGAGGTGAAGTAAATCATTTAATAATTCGACTCATTCCAATTAATTGCAATTCAATCTGTAAACTTCATTTGCACATTGTTAATTTCCCTCGAGTTGGGGCATTTAGTTATCCAACAGAATACCTGCCATGTTGAGTGTGTAAACTCTATGATTAACCATTCGACTTTCATCAGTGTGCGTTAACGAGACACGGGGAATATTGCGCAAACTTGCCAGCCAACTCTTCCCACTCTATATTCCAATGTGCAACGTGAGTGCAACGGACTCACAAGTGTTTTTGGATATTTTCAACAATTGTGGATATTAGAGCAAAGGTCCTTGATTGTTTCGCAAACATCGAATCGTTCATTTTCATCCTGCAAATATGCTATTGCGCGAAACGGAAATCTACTCGTCATGCAAATTACTGCACTCATTTGCATCGACAAATAAATTACGTGATTATAGTAAATAACAATCAGATGCCATTCATCAGTGGATTTGCGGAATTGTTTATTTCTCGAAATTTCGCCAATCGTAGAGGGCTGAGTTCCTGATTTATTCTCACACACTGATGACTATTTGTGGATATTCGGTAATGAACTCCATTGAGGATAATCAGTGCGAATAAATTTGGCACTTAAATCAGGTAATCGTAATTACTAAATCCACATAGGAATTCACGACGCTGCTAATATATATTTCTCTTAATTTCCGGTTACTGCGGTGAATTATTAAGATTGTAAATAATCAATAAATTATGAATTATATTTCCTTCATTTTTTAAAATTTTTTTATATAAATAGAAAGATTAATTTCCGGGTGTAGAAAAGTTTGTTTTGCACACTGTATCGATGATGTTACGCAATCTTCAAACACTTGTATGAATACCCCAAGTGCTGGCATTCGTTTGAGACGCGAAAGGAAATTCCAAAACTACCGAGGAATTGGCATTGCGGAATGGACTTTGTGAAACAGTTCGAACCACTGATTTTCTCCGATGCGTCATGTTATTCTGGTTTTATGCGGTACTTGTGGTTAATGACAGAGATTTTCACAAGATAGCAGCGAGAGCATCGCAAAATCAAGGAAGGCAGTATGGAAAATAAATTTTTATTTCCCCCCGCTGAATTTTATTGCACTCTTCTTCTATTTCTCACAATTTCCACAATTCGCTGTTTATCCTTCCCCCCTGAATTTACATTCAAGTGGAAATTAAAGAAAAATATCAGACTCCTGCACTCCACAAATATTTTTTTATGAATTAATTTCAGTGATGATTTCGGGGCGATTGGGGGTGTGCAATCGAACTGTTACGATTTTCTCGAAATACCAATGCTGGAGATGGAAATTCAGTTTGCAAGGGGAGTGGCTTCGAGAAAACGAGAAAATGAGATAGAGAATGGAAATACAGTGGAGACGCTCTAGATACTGCGCCCACACTATTAGCCATCTACATTCTATATACTAAAGGGTAGAATCCAATTTAAACCGGCACGATACATGAAATCACGATGCGGTAGAAGCAACTTGGCTCAGACAATTACACATTTGTTATTAAAAAAAATTCTATAAAGCGCAAGAGTATTGTCTTTAACTGACTTCTTGATTTGAAACATCAAATTACCTTCCACTTAAGTAATCCCAGAGTAGAAATAATTTTTCGTAAAAACCGTCAATCCCCGGATGTCTCTTCTCCATGGTAATCGCTTTAGATTTTATTCAATAATGATATCACGCCCCAAAATATTCCTAAAAAATATTTTAATGTAAATATTATAATGTAAATATGTTAATTCGCGAAAATATCAGCCCAATTTTTTTTTAATTCTTTCTCTCTACTTCATTCGTGTCCTGAAGTTCTTCATCTTAAATTAAAATCGATTTGGCTTTGAGTTTGACATGAAAGTCGAAAAGCAGGGACTAGGTGCAAAGGAGAGGAGAGAATCTACTTCAGATTGCATACCTCATTATCAATTCAACTTTCTCTTCTTTCTTTGCTCACCGGAAGCCGCACACCAGCTCATAACTCGCTGTTCAGTCATACGAATTATGAATCACTTCAGACAATGTGCAACCGCAACCAACCTCCGCTCAATCCTCGTCGTAACGCCTCAATCTCTTATTAATTGAATTAATAATTCTGTGGACGGAAGATGAACTATTCATTAAACCCAGTTCACAGGTTTCTTTTTGTGAGTGAAGGTATTTCCGGATTTTTCTCCTCCTATTCCGAGGAAAACAATTATAAGCAATTGAAAATTAATTGACAATCGCTAATTGACATTTTTCAAATGATGGTTGTTGATATTTCATCGAGACCTCGAAATTCAAATTTCTCTTTCACATAATTGAGAAATTGGTAGTTGCAGGTACAGCACGTGCAACATCCCGGACCACCAGATCTTAATTAATTTCTCTCATATGAATCCATAAATATTGATTGAGTTTGCGTTCTTTCCGTTCTTGCACTCTCGACGTCACCTCGATGTATTTCCGTGGTCTCAGCATGAAAGAATATAAAAAATATCATAGAGCATCGTACGTTTTCCATCTGTCCGCGACAGTGTCACAATTTTTTACGGGCCATTAAAAAAAACGCGCACATTGCAGTCAACCACATACCGCATGTTCATTCCGCTTTCCTTCACATTTGTATTTTTTTCTAAAGTCGCGGGTACCTTCCCCCCACTGTACTTCTCTCAACATTGAGAAAAAAAAAGGAATTACTCGAAGCAAGAACGTGTTTCCATAAAAAAGATGGATATCTTCCATCGTGAAAATTCTCGGGAAAACTTGAGAGTTTTGAGTAGGGCAAACGTTTCAGTGGATACCTCCACGATTTTCATGTTCCCCTGATACTTCTCTGAAAATTTCTAATTTTTCAATTTTAGTGAATACCTCCTCCATTTTCATGCTCCCCTGATACTTTTGTAAAAATTTCGAATTTTCAAATTTCAGTGAATATTTCGTCGATTCTCATGTTCCCCTGATACTTTTTCAAAAATTTCGGATTTTCAAATTTCAGTGAATACCTCCTTGATTTTCATGCTCCCCTGATACTTTTCGAAAAATTTAGAATTTTCGAATTCCAGTGAATACCTCCTTGATTTTCATGCTCCCCTAATACTTTTTCAAAAATTTCGAATTTTCACATTTCAGTGAGTACCTCTTCGATTTCTGAATTGAATTTAATTAAAGAAAAAAAAAATGATGGATAATTTTTTCAGAGATTTTAGATGCCAAATGATAATGCCCCGCACGCGTGAGATTAGGCGCGCGGAGCGTGCCATATACGCTTGTATATGAAATTATCCACTTGGTTTATCAGAGAATCTAATTTTCTGGGGGAGTTGGGGTATTCCTAGGGGAATTTGCAGACCACTCAACACGTGACTTGCGCCAAGAAGCCATCGGGGTTTATCCCGGATTGCGGCCAAGAGCCAAATCGACTTTTTCCCATCCTCTTGTTTTATCTCGTGAAATTCTCCACTCTTTCTTCTCGGTGCGGATGTTTTTGTCTTCTCCAACCAGAGACACCAAGAGACTTTCGTGGCACAACTTTACCGTTGACTGTCGTTCTTTCTATCGTATTGCCACTGAGATACGTCACGGAGATACAATGATAGAATGACAGGTGTCATCAGTGCTTGTTTTCCAAGTGTCGGGAGCATTGCACCTGGAGAAAATAAATTTAACCATTTTTTTACTCTTTCCCATGAATTTCACCGAGAGACCATGGTTTGACGCAAATTTAGTACACGCGCTCGCTAGATTTTATTTCTCTGTGGCAAAATAAAAATAAATCTCGCAGATAAGAGAGAAAATCGTTTATTGCAGTTGAAGTACGTCCTTTTTTTTTTTTGTTAATCTGCTACCTTTCTCTATTGATTTTCCAAGTTTCTTAGGAACTCTGAACAATTCGAAATTAACTTCATAAGGGTCCTGACAACTCGATGAAAGGAATTTGGATTTTTTGTTTGATCCCTTTCCTTTCAACTCCGAGGACTTTTTAAGTCGAGAAAAATTTGATCCCCCTGGCAAATGCAGGAATTAATCTCCAACTAGGGCTCCAACTCTCTTTTATTTCATTGGTTTTATTTTTCTACTGATGTCCAACCACTTCCGTGCCAGCGTTTCAAAAACTACCGCCACCCCCGTAGAACTTTTCCTCTCTGCGGGCAGTTCAGTTATATATTTCTCATCTACTTTTCTTACTTATTTTTTATTCTTTCATTTTTTTATTTTATGTTACTTGCTCGCCTCTACTCACTTCCGAATTTTTTCAGTGGAAATTTCTTTTGTCCGCCGATGAGAAAGAAGATTTCTCACGGTACATTCATTTTCGTCATGAAAAGCCTCAAGAATCTAGGAATGATATCCATCAAATTTTTTTCACATTCATTCATGTTTTTCCTGCGTGAGTTTTGTTCTGGGCAAAATGCGGTCTAGAGTAATCGAGATCATTTATACTCTCCGAAATATGCCACTGATAAATGAGAACAAAACATGTACTTGCTGTAATGCGCAAATTCAATTATATAATTGCCCTCGAATTTTTTTGGATATTTTTTGGATACGAATTGTCAATTTTGCGGATTTCCATTCAAGCCGAATAATTTTTCAATTTTCAATTGTGATTGCGGGGTAATAATAACCGTGGAAATTAATAAGTCTGTATAGCCGCACTAGACTCGATCGACTTAATTATGAAATCATTTCCATCAATTCTTTCTGCCCCAATTGAATCAATAATCATACTGTGACCTAGCAGCCCCTGAATTCTTGATAAAACCCATCCCTCACAATTTCCCACTCACTAAAAAAGTGAAGAGAGAAACATAAAAGCACAAAAAGTACAGGAGTGAATGGAGAATCCATTGGAACGCCATCTCCCGGTCTAAACTTTTCCGTACGATTGATAGGTCTGCATTGGAACTTTAAACAAGTTTGCAACTTGGATACCACTCCATACCCTCACGATCCCTCAAAATTACACAGCCCCAGAGCATTTAACTCTTCTCTTCATTTACCGCCATTTTTATTCGCGCAGATACAACGAATTCCGAGTAGACGAAATAAAAAAAATTAATACGTTCCGAGAATGTAATAATCCTTTTAGCGAGACACCTGTCACGTTTATTAACTAGATAGCCAAGGGCTCATTCTTATGCATAGTTTCCACGAAGCCAAGGCTCACTTACCCATTTTAAAAATTACTGTTACAGTAATGTTCTGGAATTTCCACAGTTTTTTGCTCGTAACTAGATTACCCGAAGGACTTAAATTTTTCGTGATCCAAAAGGGAGAGTCTCATTTTTTTCTCAATGACGAACGAAGAGAAATAATTTTTTATTTCGAGTAATTACCCAACAGGTAATCAAGGCTCACAAAAATTACATGACATTTTTTTCTGTAGAGAATTTACCACTTGGGTTCTGATTAAATTCACGATTGATTGATGAGGGCTGGGAAGACTTTAAGATAAAATGTACGTAATTTGCGACAAATGCGACAAAAAATGGTAACAAATAGCGGATAATGGCCGAGTGTTTACGATTCTCTCCCTCGATTTATTTCCATTTGATTTTTCGCAACGACGAGATAAAGGTGCAACGGAATATCGAATAACGCTTTGGCAGAGGCCATCTGGAATATGAAACTCACCCCTAAGGTAGTAGATTTTCCCCTACGATTATTTTTTTTTTATTCCGTAACCTCATGACCAAAGAACCGTGGAACAAAGGCTCTGTAAATCCTCTTTATCTTGCACCCTTCACTCCACCTCGCTTTACCATTGGATAAAGATAAAGGAGACGAGGAAATTCGGGGGGAGAATTGGAAATTGAGATCGGCGACCGCCAGCCAATAAGATTGTGGTCGACTAAAACGCGAATAGGAACAGAGAGTTTTCCGAATCAAGAGAATGAGAGACTCAATAAAGAAAAAATTTGGAAAATCAACCACGTACTTGACCCAATGCCGTAAATCATTTCTAACAATTTTTTTTAATCCCATTCAGTCAAGAATTATCGCATTCATATTTTCATACATCAATTTCTTTTTTATCCTCATCTCGAGAGTCATGGAAAGAGGGAGAAATTTATGCGGAAATTATTCATTAATTTTTATCCTCCCGGCATTTTACTCGTTTCTCTTTTTCATCTTTAATTCTTCAAGCATTGATAAATGCACCCTTTTTTACAAGTTGAAGAAGTGCATGCAATTTGGATCATCTTGAATTCGCGGAACGATAAAACCGTCTACTACAGTGTAATCGCTGTTACAAATGATCCTAAGAATATATATTCTCCAGGTTTGCAAAGGGGATGACGTTTATCCATGGTTTGAATGTTGAAAAGAAAATTTACTGACCTCTCAAGGTTTTTTATTCTCGCTGACAATTTTTCTAATTAACGCTACATTTACAAATACCACGAATCAAATTCGCTTGTCTATCAATTAACTAATTCCACTGAAAGACAGCGCAAACTACCGCAAAAAAAATTCAATTAATCGAAGGATTAATTGATGTTAATTATCTGATGTTACATATATGTGCTAATCATTATTGATTTATGTGAGATTTTTATTGAGAGAATTAATGTGCGGATAATTGATATATATTCTAAAAAATAAAATTTCGATATCAAAGTATAGAATATGAGTGTAATAATATAAAATTCTCTGTTGCAGTATATGCGTTACAGTAGTTGTGCTAAATGTGCACTTTCGTTCACCGCAAACCCACAAAATGGCGCCGTGGGTCAAACGAGTATTCATCCACATATTACCGAGGCTACTAGTAATGCGAAGGCCGCAATACAAGTTCGAGCCAAGTCGGTAAGTCCCCCAAATCCCGATATCGGTAAAAAAAAAATAGACAAATGCGGCAAAACCGACAGACATGGGTTTCGCGTTTAATTTTTTTTTTCTCAAAAAACATGGGTAAATGCAGTTGCAATAGCTACATGCCAATTTCATTGTTGTGGACAAAGGCAGGAGCTTCCTCTATCGGTGCTCGTATACTTTTACGACAAGTATCCTTATCGACACTTTTTTCTCTTTGCCTCGCCAGGCCCAACCGATATTGTTACGATACAATGACGATCGAATTGCCCTTATGTTATCGAATTTCGTTTTACGGGAGCTGTGCAATACTACCATGGGTTCACCTCAATTTTTTCACATCTAATTGTTCTTATTGAATTTAGTTGCTAGCTGCGAATTCCCATCGGTCACCATTTACAATTTTGGCTTCATTTTTTAAAAATATAGATTCTCGTCGGGTCGAGTCTTAATGAGGACTGTGAGGGGTAAGGAGAAATCGAATTATTATCCTTATCATCCGTCTAGTCAGGACGATAGTGAAGATCATTTCACACCCAAGAGGTTTCACAGTCGGCCAGTATCCAAAGAGGATATTTCTCCATCGAGGTATTTATCTGATCTGTAAAAAATAATAATCGACGTGACACTCTTAATGTAGAAAAAGATTAATTGTTCCGAGACATTAATTTGGGGCTCAGTTGTTGTAATAAATCACTTGACGATCTCAATCAACTCAAAAATCGGTATAAATTGCTTCTGAAAATGAAGTTTTTTACACGGATTTATTTTCGAATAATATTTGTGCTCGAAAACACGTCATTATTCGCGTAACGTGTGTCCTAGCTTAACGGATGGAGCAAGGTTCGGCGGAAGTTGCCTAATACACGGGCCTCTACCTCCTCTACCTTTGAACGCCGACTGCGAGGATGTGCCTGGTGCTGCAGGCATTGAGGAAGTCAAAAGCCCGGTTCTAGCATCCGCCCCAGGCTTTACACATTCACGATGTCCACCTGAAATTCATAAGTCTTGCATGGGCGTCAGATTCATCGCTGAACATACTAAAATGCTGGAAGATTCCACTAAGGTAATTTAATTACAAAACTTTACCGAATCACCTAGCGAAATGATTAGAAAAAATGAATTAACTGTCTCTTAGAATCCAAAAGATAAATTTTTTTCTAATTTCTTCATTGACGAATCATTTAATTTCTCGAATATTCCGTCAATTATCAATTTCCGAACAACAATATGTCTGCAAAAATTAATTAAACATGAAATTATTTTTAATGATTTCCCACGGGAAATTTTGCTTTTCATTTTCTTTTTTTTTAAGATAAATGAAAAATTCTGTGAGCGTTTTTAGCTGAAATTAATTAAAACGCGTGAGAATTCCAATGACTGAAATCAATCAAAGTCTGACAATCTCTGAATTTGATTATCCACCCAGGTAAAAGAGGATTGGAAATACGTAGCAATGGTCTTAGACAGACTGTTCCTCTGGATCTTCACCCTGGCAGTATTAGCCGGTACAGCTGGTATAATCCTCCAAGCGCCAACCCTCTACGACGACAGAGTTCCTATAGACAAGAAATTCAGTGAATACGCCCGAGATACAGTAGCAAGATGTCCACCTCAATAGTCCACGTCGAGCCGTGCACCGTAATAGGCTGTCCCAATAATCTAAAACCAAAAGACCGATTTAAAATAAATCGCGTCAGGGTTTCAATTTGGATTGAGTCTATTACTTGTCACGGCTAAGTAACTCCGTCGATCTGTTCACATTGAGAGGATATTTATTACTCGCATTACCCAAATATTTATAACAAACGAGTCTATTAATCATAAATTAATGCAAGAGAATGAACAAGAGATGAGAAGAAGAGGAAGCGAAACTTGAAAAATTATCAAGAGTGGAAATTTGATAGCCTGTGCTCAAGTAACTCGTAACAAAGCTGCCACTACGTAACTCGGTAACTTAATTATTAAAATTGTAAGAGGGAATAATTACAGTGAACAGGTGTATTAATAATCTAACGTGTAATATACTGAATGATATTGTTGTATTATAGGTGAAAGGATTAACTGTTTCAGTAATAAAGTGCTAAATTGCGTTTATTATCGAAAGAGATTCGTTCGAATCATAGAGTATGTTAGGGTATGGTTAAATTATTATATACAATGTTTTGTATGCCCAAATACCCACACGTTGTACATTAGGGATCACGGTACATAGGTTCATAGATTAATATTGTTCGCAGATTGAATTTCGGGGGCTTCGGCGGTTCAATCATTGGTTTGTTTACTAGGTCGTGGATTTATTAGGAATGGAAGGTAAGTACAACGCCAAAGATAGATCGACTTCTATAGGATTTCTCCTTTTTATTTACGGTTTTTTTTTCTCGTGGAAATATTTCTTTTGGCGAAGAAAACTTTGATAGAAAATTTTTTATATCCATCATTTGTGATCTGTAAGGTAGAAATATTTTTAGAACTCAGTGCTAACTCAGATTTTCTCAATATTAAATTAATGGTAATTAATGAATTTGCACATGAACATTGCAGTGTCATTTCGGGAATAGCAATAATTTGATGGCGATTACCTCGGAGTTTTTCGAACTTGTCTGGAAAATCTGTAACTTCTTGAATTATTCACTACAACTTCTTCGATTATACATTTTCCTCTATATAATTAATTGTAAATATTAAGGATTGATTTAGTTGAGAATTTCGGAAAAACCTCCAGCACTAGCACTCGTTCCGTCACGATCCGCGCATTTTGTAAGAAATGATAAATAAATTAGAGGGAAGTTGCATACATGAATAGTTTAAAGGTAAAATGAAAATCGTAAATTCATCTCTACCATCAGTTTTTTGGAGATCTCGGAATTGGAAGAGGATAGGACAACAGCGCAATTTTATAGTTACAACTAAAATCGAAAAGATCGGGAGAGAAATAGCAATATCCTCTTGACATTCCGACGTCGATAAAAAATTCATAGAGATCAATTGATATTGTAGAGATTGAAGGCATGTGGATATTGAATTTTTTTTAACTCGAGGAAATTATCGAACAGCTGATTTAATTTTGCCTCAATCTCTTCAACCTCAAACGAGACATCATACTTACAAATAATCCAACACGAGAATTTCGCTCCTATTACCAACTGTTTAACGTTTAAGCATACATAGATAAGATAAGAAAAAAAAAAGTAAAGCATACGAATTCTAAAGCTGATAGTTGTAGCGAGCTGGTGAACAACCGAAATATTGTTGTTCGAATGCTGTAGTTCGTAGTCGATGTCACTGTGAGTCGTCTACGTTCAATATTTTTTTAGATAGAAAATGTGCGTTACGGAGAACAAAAAAACAAATGATAAAAACAATTGTACAATAGTGTTGAGATATCCTGTTGGCCTTTGAATCGATCAGGAGGTGCTTTAAAGGGAGAATAGCATTGGAGTTGTAGATTTCGAGGTATATTTTGAGATGAAGCTAGAGGGTGCGGTCGATCCACGGGGAATATGTGATGGGCATGTTGTAAATGTACTATAGCAGCCCTTTGAACTGTAAATACCCGTAGAATATGGATAGCTTAATTATTTATAGGGAGTTTACATTGATCAACTGCCAAGTAAGTCATTTTCATTATTTGACATTGGAGAAGACATTTTTATTCACTGAAATTAATTTCAAATGCAAATACTATTCTGGAATAAAATTGCAAAATTCAATCTATGAGTTAAGGAGCTTAATTTATTTAACATTGATACATCATTGAAATTTTAAAAGGACATGTTAAAAAAATCTGCATTTTATCGGGGAATTATTCATTTCTGGAATATTTTATTCATATAATTATGTTTGAATTAATAAAAAATAAATCATCGGATACTGGATTTATTTATTTATAACGATACTAATTCCCATTCGAATAGAGATTTAACGGGGTAGTTAGGAATAAAAATATCTCCTCGAGTGTATCTTAAAATGTGTTCCGATAATTACTCGAACATCACCATCGCTTCATTTCCTTTACGTCAAGCTCAATACCTTACTTTATTCGGGGATCAATAAGTCACAGAAATAAATAAAGATCTATTAGTACCAACTACCGAAACAAATTGAAACATAAAAATAATAATCGCGCGAAAGTGCCTTTAGGTGCTCGCAAGAATATTTAAATAAAATTCAATGCAAAGTCTCTCCACAAATCGTTAATGAGAAACTAATGTAACAAATGAAATAACGAAAGAAGCGCACATATTTTATATTTTAGCGAACTCATGCACCCAAGAAAATGAACAAAATGTAATTTTTTGTAGAGATGGAGAGATACAAACGAAATAAATTAAGGGAGAATATTTGAGAATCATGCACTTAGGAATTTAGGCTGTTAATCACCTAGAGTAATGTGTATAAGTAGATAAACAAGGCCGGTTCTGGATATAGGGATCTGCGGGGGGGTGCGGGGCGGGGGGCGGGTGAGGT